CTCCACCCCAAGGCTCCCCTTCTGTACCGTGGCCTCCTAGGTTACCCCTGCTCCTTCAGTGCACTAGTGCTCTTTCTACCTTCTGCCAGCCACTCATTCACTGGAAACTGCTCATCATGTTGGACCAGTCAACAGTAACAGAGGCATTTCCGTCTTAACAGATACAAATTTTAAATGATTAGCTAATCACAATGTCATATAATAATAATTAATTAAGCTAATTCTATAACAAACTGTTCTAGAAGCTTTCACATGAGCTCTCAGTCCTCATAAGAAACATGGGAAGTAGATATTACTGTCCCATTTTACAGATGAGAACACTGAGACTCAGATCAGAAATTTATCCAAGGTCATATTTGCCCCATGATTCCAAAGCCAGTGATTGAATACCTTCTGTTTAAAGTCAGTGGAATACAATTGTCTGGGAGGAATTTCAGACATCATCAGGTCTTAAGGGAAGGGAGGGAGAGATGGACTGAAGCCCAGTTTCTGCTTATTGGCCATCATCCAGCCTTTATTTCTCAAGACCCCTCCCTAGTTTTGCTTAAAAACACACACACACACATTAAAAAAAAAAAAAAAAAAAAAAAAAAAAAAAAAAAAAAAAAAACAAGAAAAAAAAAAAAAAAAAAAAAGAAAGAAAAAAACAGTAACAGGACACTGGGTTAGTTTGGGGAAATTAAAATGGAAGGATTAGCTGTTACTTCCTGGTCTCTCCTTCATCATCACTCAAACATTCCTGAGTTCAAGACAAGAACCCCCCCCCACCCCCCCCAAACCCCACCCCCCACCCCCTGGTCACCAGGAGAGTCTGCCTGCCCCCTCCTGCTCCCAGCTTCACCCCTTCCCACTGGCCCTGTCTGCTAAGCATTGGTACCTGCTTCCCGTGGGCGCAGTTCCAGGAGCTTCCCCATCCCTGACAAGGGAGGGAGGAAGGGGAGCTGGGCTAAGTGTCTGTTGGAGGGAGACCTGAATCACACAAGAGGGAAGAAATACCTTTCTTTCGGAGCCTGTGGATTTTCTTCCTGAAATTCCAGCCAAAGAGCAGTGCCAGAGAGGGAAAGCCACAGCCCAGTGCCCACTGCGGCATCCTGGGAATACAAGGCAGGCAACAGCAGGGAATCGCAGCCTCTGCTGGGCCAGCCTCAAGCCTTTCCTCCTCCCCAGGCTGGGAGAGCCACCCTCTCTCGCCTTCAGACCAGCACATGCTTGTAAATACTGCTCGGATTCTGACTCCAGGACAGAAACTCTGGGATCTGTAGGCACCTGCCCCGGGCCCTCCCTTCCTCCTTCCCACACCACTTCCCCTCCCCACTCACCTTTATACACATGACTCTTGGCTTTTAAAGAGCGAACATAAAGCTGTCAGGGCCCACAATAAAAATAAGTGCCTCCTTTTACTTAGCAGCTAATTGTCAACTGCCATTCAAGGGGTGCCACGGAGGTGGGTTAAAAAAAATGCCCTCACGCCAGCCCTTACCAGCATTGCCCCATATATCAAAGCATCTGGCAGGGACACAGGATTTCACTTAGCGTTGATGAAGCCAGCCCACCCTTCTCTGGGAACGCTTTCGCAGTTGTAGGTGGTTTGATTGAGCCTTCAGAGAGAGTAGTCTTGGAGGTGGGTTGTTGGCTCAGTGGAGATGCTTTCCCCCTCCCATGGAGATGACTTAGCAAAGAGTGCAGCAACCCTACCAGACAGGCCCAGGAGACTTGAAATGGACTTTTGGCATCACGGGGGTAAGAAATGAGGGTTGGGGGTGGGGGTGGGAGTGAGGCTGCGATTGGCAGGAGCAGGGAGGATTGCCAGGAAAGGCCCTGGGCAGTGCAATGCTGCCAACCAAGAGTGTTCATCCCTCCATTCACTCATAGGCCAGGAATAGAGGACTCATCTTGGACCCACATTCTCCTTCATTTTGAATTCACTCCCAGGTCTGGCAATGTTACCTCCCAAATGCTGCACAGACCTAGTCACGTCTCTCCATCTCCACCATCACCACCCTCTTCCAAGCCACCTTAAAATGAAGACCAACATCTTTGTTAAGGTTCTCTTCACTGTTTTCACCTTCCTCTCAGTCCAAAGCCTGTTCTTTCTGTCACAGGACATTTGCACATGCTATTTCTCTGACAGACACTTCCTCTTCCTCTTTCCCTGCCTAGTTAACCTCTATTAGCCTTTCAGATTTAAGCTTAATCATCACTAGTTCAGGGCTGACCTGAATTTCTTAACAAATACAATTACCCCCTTTCCCTCCCCCCCACCCAGCACCCCCATCTTATCATGTGTTTTTCCTTTGTGATATTTTTCTGAGTTGTAGTTACATGGTTTTCTTTGTGTGTGTTTTTAAAATTAATTTCTGTGTCTTCTACTATACTGTGAGATCCTTGAGAGAAAGGACTTTGCCTTTTTTTCTCTTCTCTTCCTTCCTCACCCCTGCCACCCCTCTCTCTTTCACTGTTGTACCCCTGGTGCTAGCACAATGCTTGGCCTATGACACATTCTCAAGAAACATTTGTTGAGTTCATGAATAAACTTGTATCTGTCTGGTGTTAGGATCTTGGGGAGGAGAATGAGGGAATTAATGAAAATGAGTAAAAAAAATCATTCCTCTTAATGTCCAATTAAGTAGAGAGAAAGAACCAGAACACATGGAACAATGAATGACAAACACAGCACTCTCTCACAAGCCACACTGTGCTACAGATTGTGAAATCATGCTCTGAGGGACAAGAGAACTTCAAAAATGAGAGGAAGCCAAGGAACTTAGGCACTTAACAATTCCGTACTTACATACCCTATGCCTAGTGTTGGCAAACACACAAAGACGCTTAACGCATGGGACCTACTAGTACTCCAGGGCCTTATTATCTGGTTGGGCTGAGCAGACCTACTAGTATACACAACTTAGTGCAGTGCTTATGCGCCCAGCAGTGGCCTGAGAAATGCCTGCGATGGCCAGCCTCCAGAGGAAGAGGGCAGAACGGGTCCCGACTGAGCAGCAATTTGCAATGTGAACTGCCTGATCGCTGGGGATGGGGCAGAGACCAGGTTTCAATGTGGGGATCCAGTGGAGGCAGAGCCTTCTTACTAAAAGGAGGTTGTGTCTTGAAGAAAACAGGCAGCTATGAACCTGAGAACAAGTCACCAGTGGTGGAGATGTGATCTCCTCTCTTCCCTTTATCCTACTTAAATTGCAAAAATCCGGAATTGCATCCAGAACCTCTGGGGAAGGTGCTGCTGTCTAAGGTGTGACAGTGTGATTGATGGCAAGAAATATATATTTGGCCTTTGACTCGTTTCTTGGCACAGAGCTCGTAAAACTCTTGGAACTTCCATTATGAGAGTTATAAAGGTATCTTTTATCTTTTGGAAAGCACCAGATGATGAGAGGGTTGGAAGTTTCAATCCTACCCTCGCAACTCAGAAGTCAGGGGAGGAGAGAGGGCCCGGAGGGTGAATCAATTCCCAATGGCCAGTGATTTAATCAATCATATCTGTGTTATGAGGCCCCATAAAAACCCAAAAGGACAGTGTTCAGAGAGCTCCTGGGTTGGTGAACACATGGAGATGAGAGGAGAGTGGAGCTCCTGGAGAGGGCATGGAAGTTCCATGTCCCTTTCCCCATACCTTGCTCTATGTATCTCTTCCATCTGGCTATTTCTGAGTTATATCCTTTTATAATAACTGTCATATGGTAAGTAAACTGGTTTCTTGAGTTCTGTGGGCCACTCTAGCAAATTAATCAAAACCAAGGAGGTCATTGTTGGAAATTCCCATCTATAGTCAGCCATCCTGAAGCACAGGTGCCATCTGGACTTGCCATGACATCTGAAGTGTGTACGTGATGGGGGTCAGCCTTGTAGGACTGGGCCCTTAGGCTGTGGAATCTGATGCTATCTGGGTAATGTCAGTACTGAGTTAAGTTGTAGGACTCCCAGCTGGTGTCTATGACGCATAGGAAACATCCACACACTCGCACTGGAATTGGGTCCTGAATCAGATAAGGTGAGAGGAATGCTCAGGGCCAGCTCCCAGGCAGGAGGAGCCACGGGGAAGAAGCTGGGTATGCCGTGGAAACCACGTAGGCCATCTTTCCCATCAAGGGAGAAAGGGGGCCAGGAAGAGGCCTTAGCTTTGCAGAACTGTCACTAGAGTGACTTCAAAAAGTTGGGATTCATTGCCTGGGGGGTGTAGATGACTATTGGGGTCTGAAAATACCCTGCAGTTGAACTCAAAATTATTTTGTCTGAACATATCTTTGAAGAGAGTATCCAAAGCTTTTATTGAATTCTTTAAGGGGTCTATGAACCCTAAAGAACTTCCCTAAAGCTCATCATTAATGTGCTTGAAGGAAGATCTAGAACAGCGATTCTCAACCTGTGGGTCGCGACCCCTTTGGTGGTCGAACGACCCTTTCACAGGGGTCGCCTAAGACCATCCTGCATATCAGATATTTGCATTACGATTCATAACAGTAGCAACATTACAGTTATGAAGTAGCAACGAAAATAATTTTATGGTTGGGTCACAACATGAGGAACTGTATTGAAAGGGCCAGAAGGTTGAGAACCACTGTTCTAGAGGGAGCAGGCCATTTACCGAATAATTTTGCAGATAAGCTGGTAGTCATTTATCAAAGTAGACAGCCTAGGGGAGTAGAACACAGTGCTGCTTGGATAAAGGGCCATTCCTGGGCCTATTCCTTTAATAAACATTTATTGAGCATCTATTCTGTCAGGCACTATGTAGATTCTGGGATAGAGCACTCCCCCAAATAGAGGGGAAAAATTCCTGCAAAGCAGAGTGAAGCCTTCATTCTAGTGAGGGAAGACCAACTCAAAACAAGTGAGTAGACTATTTAGCTGTTAGAAGAAGGTAGGAAAGGAGAAAAATGAAGCAGGAAGGGGGGATAGGGAGGGCTGGAAGAAGGGTGGGGAAGGGGTTCAATATTAAATGAGATGGTCAAGGGCAGGCTTACTGAGGTGATGTTTGAACAAAGACAGGAACAAAGCAAGAGACCAAACCATACAGCTACCTGGGGAAGAGAATTACAGACAGACAGCGCAAGGCCCCTGGCTCAGAAACATTGCCATGGCGTCTGGAGAAGATCAAGGAGGCTGGTGAGTTTGGAGTGAAACAAGCACAGGAGGAGGCACTGGAAGACAAGGTAAAAGGTAATGGATGGGGCAGACTGTGCACTGTGATTCATTATAAGCCTTGGACTTTTCCTCGAGGCAGAAGTGAAGCTATGGGACAGTGTTGCGTGGAGGAGGACTTCCACTGACAAACAGGTTTAACAGTTCCTTCTGGCTGTTCTGTTGAAGACGACTGTAATTCAGACAAAACAGTATAACACCTCACAGGACGGTACAGTGAAGGTCATGAGCAGTGGGCAGGTTCTGGGTGGGAAAATCCATAGAACATTTCACAAATGAGGCAGCAGCAGCATTCTCAGACTTCTCAGTGGTTGAGGGTGCATGCCCTGCCCAGCTAACAGCACCAGGGGATCTTTACAAGTGAAAGTGAGCTACCTACAGAGGAGGAGCCCTGGCCCTGCTGCTCCATGGCTGGATCCCTTGGGCAAATTATTTACTTCTTCAGGACTGAAGTTTCCTGACTTACAAACAGGAAGAACAAATGTCTGACTTGCCCCGGGACCTCAGACTGGACGCTGCTATCTTCAAACGCCTTCTCATCCTGAGATCCATCATTTGGGTTCAGTGAGAGGCTAGAAGAGCATCTGAAATGCCACAGCAAAGCCAAACCCTGTTCCTTGAGTAAATAAATAGTGCTGTACTCCTCCCTCGGACTTTCCCCAGCCTACAGGACATAGGCTTGACTTTCTTAGGATGTTGGCCGTGGGGAGGGAGGAGGGAGAAATCCCCATGTGGATGATGACACAGTAAAGCAGTGTGCAGTGGCAGGGCCGAGCCGAGCACAAGGGACACAGATGTTGGCTACAGCACACAGGCAATAGTTTGACTCAGCGCAGGTATACGATTAGGCAACATCCACGACCCTTGTCAATGCAGACAGCCTAACGTGCTGGGCTGGGAAAAACAGAAAATGTCAACCATTTCACAATCCAGGGCAATAAGGAAGGTTGAAGCTACATTTATGCAGGCTGGATAGCATATAATAGAGCTTTCGTATATAAAAGCTTCATCTCAGCCTGATTAGCACCTTAAAATTATTGTGTTTAGGAATTGGGAAATGTTTAATGAAACCATGTTATTCTTTTTTTGTAATAGGTTGCCGCTGTTCAGGATGACTGAGGTAGGCACTCCTGAGTTGGGCTGTCCCATCCAAATTACTTCTTTTCTTGTAGCCCCCACATGGCAAGTCACAGGCCCCAGAACTGCCTCGCTGCCCCAGAACCTAGGTTCACAGGTGGACTCCAGACATCAGCTGAGATCACCTGGGGCAGGAAGCTAGAGGCTTGACAATGAGCATGGCCTCAGAGTTGTCCTCTGGCCTTTGGACACTGTTCAAGGAAAGATCAAATCTAGAGCTACTTCCCCCCTATCCCAGAGATGTTACAGACACCTGACCACAAAAGCCTGCGGGGTCCTTACCTCCAGAGGGTGTGCCAGCGACTCTCTTAAGGAATTTAACCCACTCCTCCATCTCTGCCTGGGAGCTGGCCATGAGGACATAGGAGTCCTGTCCCGTGCGACTCTGGTCCCATGAGGCTAGAGGAAGAAGCAACACTAATGAAGGTCTTAGAGTGGAAAGGGGCTGGAGCAGGAGGAAGCAAAGAGAAGTGAACCTGAATTGCTTCCATGGTTCAATTAAACAATCCTTCAAACAACACCAAAGCATTATCTACTTATCCTCAGTGGCACTGAATATCTGTGCACCCTTATTGTTTTTGCTAACGCTCTAGTTCTCTAGACAAGCACTGACCACAATGGCTTGCAGTCAGGGAGGTTGATTTGGGCTGACAGCCGCTCCTGTGGAGGACAGAAGCCATTTGCTACCAAAAAGGAAGAGGAAATTCACGGGGCAGGTTCCGTATTAGAGGAGACAGGATCACCCCATACAAGTTTGAAGACTTCGTTCAGTTCATCATACCAATCATAGTTTCTTTCCTAAGCTATCCTTGAATTCAGTTGTGGGGGTGGGGAAGGGAACAGCAACTCAGGAGGGAGGGACAATAAGCGTATGTGTGTCTTTCTCATGAAATTGGTGCTTTCTGCTCAGGATTACCGCTTTCCTGCCTGTACAAGACATTGCAAATGTTAGGTTCTTGATTCATATTTAATTGACAAATGAAGTTTGCTAGGATTTTATTTACCATTTTTTTACTTTAAACACAAAATTGCAAAAGGATATATGTAGTATTTCCTGAATTGATGTTCTCAAATGGACAAAATGGTGGACAAAATGACAGGGGCTGGAGAGAGTACGGGAGAAGACCAAGAGAGAAAATGAGAGAAAATATAATAGCGCCGAAACCGGTTTGGCTCGGCGGATAGAGCGTCGGCCTGCGGACTGAAAGGTCCCAGGTTCGATTCCGGTCACGGGCATGTGCCTGGGTTGCGGGCACATCCCCAGTAGGAGATGTGCAGGAGGCAGCTGATCGATGTTTCTCTCTCATCGATGTTTCTAACTCTCTATCTCTCTCCCTTCCTCTCTGTAAAAAATCAATAAAATATATATTAAAAAAAATTAAAAGAAAATATAATAGAGAACAATAGGGAGAGAGAAGGAGGAGAAAAAAAGGAGAGCATCAAACATGGGTCTTGGGAAGGACAAGAAAATAATAACAACCCTTTTCAATGATCAGATTCTATTAAATTTCAAAGGCCTTTGCAGACATCAACCCAATCTTCTCTCAATGTCAGGGCATTTCCCTCAAAGAGAGCCTGTTTTAGCACCATATTTGTGGACACTCTAGTTCTCTAGACAAGCACTTTTTCTTTCAGGAAAGCAAAAGACTTTCAATTCCCACCGGGTCTGGTCTCTTGAACCCATCTTAATGTCACCAAGCCACACGTTCTTTCATCCTCTGTGATGACCTAATCCTGAATCTATGTTACCATTGGGTCATCTGCTGTTCTAACCAGCAGTGCCAGTCCACGAAGCCCTGGCTATTCAGGAACATCCTGAGATCCGGGTGTTTCCAAAAGTAGAATGGGAAGTAAAAAGTTCTTAAGGCAGAACTGAAACATTCCATAGAAATCACAATTTCCCTTTGCTCTAGTATCATTTCCACTCCACAGATAATGTAACTGAAGCCCAGAAATTCACAGGCACCTGCTCATTGGTACCCAGTAAGTTACTGCCAAACTCAGGGCAGGGCTACTGTTCTCCTTTCTTCCAAGAAGGGTTTCCACTAGGCCATATTGCTCCTAATTTTGGCCAAAATTTATCTGGTGTCCTTCCCCACCATGCCCATACCCCAATCCATTCTGTTGTTAAGAACTGCCTTTCAGTTTACCCTGATTCCTGAGAGATCCTTCTGTTTGACCATGGCAACCCCATGGAGAAACATCCAGCTCTCGAGATGTTGCAGAGTGGCCAAGGCTTGATCTGATAACTCAATGTCAACATAGATTCAAAATCCGGCCATCCCATAGGGTAGAGAAGGCGAAGCACAGTGATATTAAGGTTCAAGAAACCAGGTCCAAAAGGTTTTTGAATATCTTTTGTTGCCCCATAAAAAAAAAATGCACATTGAAGCGCTAGGATGAGCTCTCTTTGGGAGAAACTGCCTAACATTAATACAAAGCCCATGAATAGCAACTCTGCCCTCAGGGACATGCTTTCCCTGACTTAAACAGTTTGTTCAATGTGTCATATATTGGGCTATTTCCCATATCAGAAAGAAGCCTCCCTTCTTTTCTTCCCTGCCTGAGCAACTCCTACCCATTTTTAAAAACCTAACTCAAATGTCATCCTCTTTAAGGATATTTCTTAATACCATCTCTTCCCACTTCAAAGTAAGTGGGGAGTCCCTATTCTAAATCCTTTAACATCCTATCCTTACCTCTCTCACAGTAGTAGCTAAATTATCCTGAACATCAGTTTCCTTATCATTAATATCTAAGCAATTATTTAATACTAGAGGCCTGATGCACGAAAATCATGCAAGAGTAGGCCTTCCTTCCCCCCAGCTGCCAGTACCAGCTTCCCTCTGGCACCCAGGACCCGGGCTTCCCTCACAGCCCCGGCTTTGTCCAGAAGGACGGAAGGACATCTGGAAGGATGTCTGGTCTAATTAACATATTATGCTTTTATTATTACAGATGTCTAAAACTAAAGCCTGATCTTCCCCCCAAAATTTGCTAGCTGCACAAATCTCAGCAAATACATCCTTCCAATTGTTTAGGCAAAAACCTTGTAGTCAACCTTGGCTTCTCTTTCCCACATCCAATCTTTCAGCAAATGAAGTCCCGTCTACCTTCAAATGTACCCAGAAATGATTATTTCTCACCCCTTCACCATTCTCTTTTCTCACTTGCATGATTGCAATAGCCTCTTCACTGGTCTCTCTGCTCTGTCCTTGTCTCTTTTTATTCTCAACTCAAAAGAGTGGAAAAACCTAAGTCAGATCATGTCATTTCTTTGTTCAAAACTTCCCAATGGCTTCCCATCGTTATAGCATAAAAACTAAACTTTTTACAATTGCCTGCAAGTACCAGTAAAAGCTATGTTCACCTCTGACTGAATCTCCTACTCTTGTTTCCTGTCATCATTCCACTGTAACCACATTGGTCTCTTTGATGTTTCCTGAACATGTGAATAGGCTCAGAGACTTTGCATGACTGCTCTCCTTCCTGGAATGCTCTTCCTCCAGATGGGCACTTGGCTCACTCGTTAAGGTCCTTCAGATCGCTCCTCAAAGCTCACCTTCTCAATGATGCCTACTCTTCCTGCTCTATTTAAAATGACAAATCAACCACTGCCATCCCCATCTCAATCAGCACTTTGTCTTTCTTTGCTTCATTTTTTTCATAGTACTATCCCAGCATAAAAACTTTACAATTTACTCATTTATTTGTTTCTCTTGTCGGTCTCCTCCCATATATGGCTATATGCAGGCTATTTTGTTCTTTGCTGGATTCCCAGTTCCTATAATAGTGCCAGGCTCATAGCAGATGCTCAATACATTTGTTGAATAAGTGAATGACATCTAATAAGGCAGTATGAGAATCGAAGGCAACATATGCACCGGAAGAAATAACCCCCTTATCCCTGGGGACTCCCTTTGGGTAGGAGACCAGATATTTTTATGCGGGAGGTAAGAAGGGGGAAGGAAATTTGCCCTAAATTTTTGCCTGTCCCAAATAAAGAAAAACATAACTACAAGAAATCCTGGCCCTGATTAGCAGGGTCATTTCTTATGCCAGCAATGGCCCCTGAGAATCATCTTGCACAGGAGAATGACAAAAAGAGGGACTAAAAATTCTCTGCATCATAACATAAAGGATTTTATCTTGGAGGAGACTTGGAAATAATGGAACCTTTAGGAAAATTGTTCCCTACCTTACCATGCTTTAGAATTGTTTTTCTTTAGGAGACCGTGTGTGTGTGTGTGTGTGTGTGTGTGTGTGTGTGTGTGTGTGATCTAAGAATTTCCCCAGCAGCCTGCACGTGTGAGTGAAAATGAAAGAATAAATCTTCATTTTACCACAGCACAGCAATCTCTGAGGATACTGGACTTTGGTGCAAAGCCCATGGTGAGTTTGCAGTTGGAGTGTTCAGTAGAGCTACCCAAGATTGAAAATTCAGGCTTTGAAACACGTGTGACCATGGATGGTGGCAACCCATGAATGGTGCTGGGGAGGGAATCCTGGGAAAGAGGTGGGTTTCCCCAGAGAGGAGAGGCTAAAAAAATAAACTCTTTCTCTGAGGAGGAAGAGAGATGGATAGACCTTCAGATAAAAAAGCAAGAGAGGACCCATGAGGAGGTTCCCTGGGAAGAACGGAATTTAAAAAAAAATATGTCTGTGTTTTATATGAATAGTCATAGCCAGTTTTAGGATTCGCTTCTACATTATAATTTCCTCTAGCTCTTCCCCAAATATCAAACACTTACATGGCATTAACTTTATACCAGACACTGTACCAAGTGTTTCGTATATATTTCTTTATTTAAACCTCACTATTATCATTCATTAGCCCCACTGTACAGATTAAGAAACAGAGGCAAGGAGAAATGAAAGAACTTGGTCACAGTTACACAAATAGTAAATGGCAGGAAAAGGTTTTGGACACGGACAGGATGGCTCCAGATTGGGCACATCTAACCTCTCTGCTACTCTGTCTTT